CATACAACTAAGCATTTTTTCCTTATTCATTGACAAGGGTTGACACTAAAATTAATGTGATTAGTTGAGTCATGAAAGATTACATATTACAATTTGCTTAATTTGATTTTTCCAATGTCTGCACACATTTTCTGAATTCAGGCTAGCAAGAATATGTATAGATGTTGGCTCAATGTAGAATTTACATGTAAAAATAGTTTTAAAATGAAACTGAATATTTCATTTTTCTTGCACATCTAAAGAACAAAAGAGCAACAATTTCATGTCATCCTTTCCATACATTCTGCATTTTCTTATGAAAAATTCATGACAGCAAACAGTGAATAGCATGAGTTACATTTTGTTTTGTAACATAAGTTATATTTTAACAGAAGAAAAGAGTACATAGGAAAGTGTGGCCTCAGGAAAGATAAGAGAAACATTTTAATATATTCAGGCAAACTAATGAAAGCTTCTTGATTTATCAGAGAAATTAATCATTTACCTATGTTGTAGTACATAAAATGGTGAGAAAGGTGAAGAAAAATAACCTGATCATGTATGAGAAAGATCTCTTCAAATTATGAAGAATAAAACCAAAACTCCCCAAGGAAGAAAATGGACAGAATATAGCCTTTTTTAAAAATATGGAAAATGCTTAAGAGAGAAAAAAATGATTTTTTTAGATCTAAAAGAAGTGTCTTCCAGCCTTAGACACATATACACATGTAAAATCACTACCTGTAGTACAAGTTTCCTCAGATTATGGGGCTTAAAACAGTAAGCTAAGGGCTTGAGAACAGCACAGGGAGGAGAAGGGGCTGGCTAGAAGTGAGTGCAAGAGTTTTTAAGTGTGGAGGAACTTTTCTACAACTTTTCTACACCTCCCAGAGGAAAGAGTCTGTGGCTGAGGGAGGGCAGCAAGGGCTGGGGGTGGAGGCTGCCTGAGCAGGGACAGGTGGCTTGGGGCAGTGGGGGAGGGGGGCAGTGTGGGTGTGCACTGTAGGGGTGTAGGGATGCTTGTGTGCCTTTGTTTGAGTCCAGAAAGGATTGATTCTGGACTCACTCTCAGGATCTACTGGTGGTAAAGAGTGAGGGAAGGAGGGCAAAGCACTGGGGCTGGGGTCAGGGAGGTAGAGGGCCATAGTCCCTGGCTTTAGCCATCTGGCAAGAGCATGACACTGAACCTGATGGGACAGGCCTCCCTCCCTCACCCTTTGAGTACAACCTACCTCTTTGCCTATCACCCTTCCCAATTCACTGTCCGTTGGGTAGGATACCCTCCTTTCCCAGTCCTCTGCCTGTTTTTTTTAAAGTACCCTAGAGACCTCTTACATGCAAGTCCAGGAGTTGTTTACACAAATAATTCTGAATCCAGTTTCAGTCTCTGCCCCTTGTTTGATGTTAGAAGGGTTCTCTTTGTTCCTAGGACTTTACTGGTTCACAAATATAAGCTCAGGGAATTAGTAGTATTGCAAGGGAGGTGGACAGAAGAAAGGGAACTGGAGAAGAGGAGAGAAGGGAAGTTTTTTTAACAGTTGGATATTTCAACAGAAATGCCATGGTAGCCATGATGTAAAGATTCAGAATCATTACACTTAATGTGAAGGTCATTAGTTGCACAAAGTACATTTGAAAATGAGGAGGGAGGCAGTCTATCTGTTCTTAGGATCTCTGAATGGTTTAAAGCAGTTTATTACTCAATTGGCTTGTGCTTTTCTCCCTGCTTTCCTAAGCATTCTTAGACTTCACCAAACTTCATTTTCTTCATGGGGAAAATTATAGTGAATAAATTTAAGAAAAGTACTGAGGAGAATCATAGCTGATTAATTTGCTATATCATGAAAATGGAATGGGATGGGTAAAACTGAGCCAAAAGCAAGATTGTGCTTACCACAACAGGGTGGTAAATACTGTTTCATAGGTGGTTGATTAATATTGTCAGTTGTGATATTGTTATGATATAAAAAGCTGAGTGATGCATTCTCTTTTTCTCTCATTTCTGCATCTCAAAGTCTCTTCTGCAAAACCGTGGAGCCAAGAGACGACAACAGCAAAATGTTTTCTAAGGAAAAGATGTCTGAGACACACAGAGATACAGGTAAGTAAATTTCCATAAATGTAGATTCTTTCTTTAGATAATGCACTAATATGTAACAGGAATCTCCAAGGGAGATACAGATTCCCAACCCCTTGGGCATGGAATATTTTCCCAGAAAGCCTTCGAGATACTAGTGTTTTTCAGAAAGTGTTTCAAAAAATCTTGTTCAAACTAGTGAGAAACTTTCACCACCTTTAAACCATGTGGTGCTCTTTAATAAGAAAACTGGTGTGCGTTTTTCTTAGAATTATTGCCTGTACATTTCACTGAGACATTACTTAGTGCTCCTGAGTTTATCTTATTGCATTACACAGGTTCTCTTCTGTTTGAATCATGTTTTTCCTTCCTTAGAAGTATCCTTCATTTATATATACATGCTTCTGCTAGTACGGGGGCAAAAATAACCACATCAATTAAGACATCAGGAAGTATTATCTGTGGCATCAAATGAAGTGTCTCCCTGGTGAGCACAGGACCCAACTTGTCTGTTGGGATGAGCAGGACTGATAACTGCTCATTTTATTGGAGTAATCCACAGTTTTTAAAACCTGTCTTTTTATAGTTAAATAACCACAGCTACCATAGTTTGAGATGCTGTTCTGTGGCAAGCACAGTGATAGCTTTGTCATGTAGTGTATTCATATCCCTATCAGAACAAGCCTGAGAAGCTTTTAACTTAATTTACATATGATTCAGGAGGGGTTGGGTCATACCTCAGTTATAGGCAGACCCCACATGGGAGTGGCTTAATGCACACTCTAGCAGCATGTCCAGGGCACATGGCATGGTAGATGTTGGGACTTTAAGTTTCTCCTGATGGAATAGTTAGGCCACTCAAACTTAGGGAACAGCCATTGTCTAGAATGTAATTGGTCACTCTCTGTATGAGAGGGAAGAAAGCCCCAGAACATGTCAAAACTGGTAAGCTAGTCTAGGACTAGCACAGGACGTGCACAGTTGCTTGGCTAGAGTTCATCGCTCACACACACACTACCCAATCAAAGGCAATTGGGAGCTGCCATTCTACCTGGGCAGTGCCTGGAACAAAGGACCATGGGAAGCCTTGGTGAACAGCACCACTGTGCACTATAGACAGTGCAAGCCCAGGGAGCTTAAGGACTCACATCCATCACAGAGGCCATGTGACAAAACTTGGGTTTGAATACAGACAGGAATGATTGAAAAGTCAGTGTCCTTTCTGTTCCTTCCACAGCGCATGCCATGCTCTTAAGTGAGATTCAAATGTGTTTATAACAAAAACTCCTTTACCTCTGTGACAGAATTTCCTCTTTTTTAACCATGCAACATTCCAATAGTTGCATCGATTAGATAGATATGATGACATTGGTTGGTCAAAACATGGATCGTGACAAGCCTCAGGGCTTTTCCTAACAACAGAATACATTGGATGCTAGCCTACCCATTGTATTCAAGGATGAAAATTATAAAAAATATACCTGATGGTAGATGAAAGGACTGGTGATTGATCGTTTTCTTAGTAAAAACTATATTGAGTCTTTCCATGTTGTCAGGGAAAAATAACAAATTAAGAGCACACATTAAGTGGAACTGGTAGTACACGAGATACAGCTCAACAAAAAAGACCAATGTCAGTGTTTTGCAAAGGGGATAGCGATAAACCCTCTGGGAGCATGGGTGGATAAAACTAGAGTGAAGGCACAGACAATCCACAGAGGGTGGCATGCTTGCAGTTACACAAAACCCTGAGTAGGTAAGATAATAAAGTTATGCTTATAATTTTAAACTTCAGATTAGGTATATAAAATCCCAAGGGAAAATATAACTTTGAAAACTGAAGTAGAAAAACATTAACATTGCTAAAGGTATTCTTTACAAGTGATACATGTCATGGCAAAATCACTAGGCAATATCATTTAATTACATTCATGGAAAATATTCAGATACATCCACAGAAAAACAAAACCAACCATGACTGAAAAAAAGATAATGCATCTTGAGTGAATTGTGTTCAGTTCCAATACAGGAAGTTTGTTCATCATTTGAGAGAGGTTCGTTGTGTTATTTAAAGTAATACCTGAGCAGTAGAAGGAGGAGGGGATGATTTTCACGAAAGACTCACTAAAAACACACACACAGTAAATCAGCCAGTCAGAATTGTACACTACTGCCCACCAAATCAGAAAGAACACTATTTCTTTCAACTTCCCACCAGGGTTAAAGCAATAATGCACACCAAATATCACTCTTAGTAGGGAAACATTAAGTATTCCTTTTAAAATATGAATTGGATGAGTCCTATGAAGATCCCTTTTCGACATCACTGCAAACAAACCTGCTGCAATAAGATATATACTGTAGCTGGCAGCTTGGTAAGGGTATGTCACATACCTGCATATCTAGAGATGTAAATTAATACAAGTGCAAACATGGAAATAAAAATGGTCTATGTGGTTGTCATCATCTAAACCTCAACAGAGCCCCCAGAATATTGAAATTAAGACAAACTAGGGCCAATGAGGTAGTTCAGTGGACTAAGCGCCTGCATAAGCAAGTCTGGGAATGGGGTTTAATTTGCACATGCCAGGCCTAGCCCCAGGTGCACTAAACTGGTGAAGGAGTCTGGGCGTGGTAGTGCTCATCTCTAATCCCAGTGCTGGGGAGACTGAAAACAGGAGGAATTACTATGAGTTCCTAAGCTGCATAGTGAGATACTGCGTGTGTGTGTGTGTGTGTGTGTGTGTGTGTGTGTGTGTGTGTGTATGTGTGTGTATGCACACGTACACACACACACACTAAGAGGAAGACATACAGGTATTTTGTGGTACACAATTTGTCACCTTTTGTCACTTGAAAGGAAGTATTTGCTGTCAGTGAACAGGTGGACCAGGCAGGTGCTTTGAGCAATGCTAGTGACACTCCTGTCCCCATGGCATTGAGCATGGAGTTTGAGGAGGGTGTTACCATATTGAAGTGCTTCGAAGTGATAGACTTCAGTGGCCCCAGTGAAGGTGAGATGTTGTGCCATTGTCGTAGTCTCCCCCGTTTTATGGATGATGATGGGACCCTGGAGTCAGAGGTGCAAAAGAGCCATTTAATCATCAGGGTCGCGCAAGGTGCTGTTACGTAGGTAAGCAGCAAAGCTAGAAGGGTAGCATAATGAATGGGCCGACCTACAGGGATCTTTGAAACTGGCTGGTTGGTGCATAGGTTCCCTAGATCTTGGAATATCCAGGCATTTTCATAGGCTTGCATTTGATCCATTTAAAAATAAGTACAACGTAAAGGGCATTTCATATCAGGCAGTTTATTTTTAAAATAAATGCAGTAATTAAGAACAAAACTATAAGGTGCCTTTGCCTTTCAAAGATCAGAAACTGCCTCTCATTCTCCTTGCACACCTGGCCCAAAGCCCATTCATAGAAGGATCTACTGCAGAAGACCCCACAATGAAGTCACAAAGAGCTAGAGTCAGACATGCTCCCAGGCTTAGCCAGTGGAACATACACTCATCTTTATGCACCACCTGGAGCTTTCTCTGCACACACTTGGCCTAAGCCAGAGCTCATCACACTTTTCCGGAGCGGGCCTTGTCATGCATTCTGGATGCTTTCATGCCAGTTAGTTCCCACAGAAGTTCTTCAGCTCTGCCTATGTAGGGCCAAAGCAGCCAGAGCTACAGCGTGAATGTGGCTGGTGTCTAGTGAAGGTTTCTGGACATGACCCTCAAACAGTTTCCATGCATCTGGAAACAGGACTTGTCTCACTACCTGTGCAAGCATTTCCATATAACAAACATTCTTAGAATTCAGGCTACACAACAAGAAGCTGAGAGATTTTGTCTACACAGCATACTTCATAGACACTTCCACCGTCGATTCAAAACTAGTAAGCCCATTAGGTCTCTAAGAAAGCCCTGATCATCAAGCAGAAAGACGTGGTAGCTATCCCTATCATCTTCTGACAAGCATAGGTCACAAAAACTCTTGGACATGGCCGTTTGCAACCTTGATTGCATGGTGCCATGATGTGGTGAGTGTAAATAGTGAGCTTGCTTGTTCTGAACCCGATTCTGCCTTGTGTTCTGGGCACAGCCTCATCCTGATGAGTTTTGCAATCTCTGCTAGTAGCTATAATGCACATTTGGGTTGACAACTACCTGATCCTTTTAAATGATGAGAGTTCAATTATTGCCCAGTATTTAAAGCTTTTAAAATTATGGCTTTGGAAAAATAATGTTCAGATTACAACAGATAGACAGCTATAGTGGAAATGTAAGAAAAGGAATGCTCTTGTACAAAATTGAAAAGAATAGTGGAAGGAGCAAGGATGTTGAAAAGTGTGGTAGTAAAGCATTGGTCACTGCAGGTTGGTTGAAGGATGAAACTAAACTACTGGCAAACCTAGAACAAGGGTAGGACTCGAGCAAGTGTTCTGTGGACCAGGGCTGATTCCTCAATGAAGCACCTACTGCTGAGCACAGTCACAAGCTGGGATCACCAAGGAAGGGACAAGTCAGTTTCAGCACATCCCATGATGTGCTCTGTGGGAAAAGAAACAGAACAGAACCAAACAAAAGCAGGAAAAGGCTGAAATCCACTTTCAGATGTGATTTCTCCAGGGAGATAAAGGAGAAACAAAAGAGAACGTTACACCCATTAAACCAAAGCACTAGAGACTGTCCAAGAACGATGGTTTTGAACTAAAGACCTAGGTTTTGTTCCCCTTGAAATTTCATTCAAACAGTGGCATTGAGGATAAACAACATTTGGTCTATCTGCAGGGGGAGCACACAGCTCACTCCAGCATGGGGGCCACTGGTTCACCACCACTGCAATGCATATATTGAGCTAGGATCTCAGAGGAAAGAGGCAAGAATGTGCGTAAATCTGCAAAGCATTATTCTCAGACACAAAGGAGCACAGGGTTTGCAATTCCATTCATAGGAAGTCATAGAAGTGGAAACAACGTATTATCTCCTGAGTGTAAGAACATAAAGCAGTAAAAATCTGAATACGTATTGTTTTCTTTAAATAATTTTATTAAGAAAAAAATAGCAGTGAGACAGTTTCAAAACCGATTACTAGCACAGTTTCAATAATTAATACATTGCTTATTGTTGTCTTAGTGGTTATTCATTACAAGATGTGGACATGATATCCTGTCAACAAACACCATTAGAACACATCTCTCCATTCATTGAATTAAAAGAATGCAGCTGTATATCTTTCTAACTATTTTGAATATACAGATACAAAATGGTCATTCATTTGCATCTCCTTTTTTTGGTTAGTTTTGTCAGTGAAGCATATTCCATTGTCATTTAAATATTGTAGGTGTGTGAATTCAGCAAAATATTCCAATATAGTCCAGTAGTGCATAATAGTAGTGAGTTTTCCGTAAGACTGGAAATGTCAGAAATTGTTGACTTGAGCCTTTTACAGCTTAGCATATTAATATGGCCTTTTTATAGTTTGTTTTTATAATTTTCTGCTGGATGGTTAAGACTAAGATAAGACAAGACCTATATAACAAGAAACATAACTTTTGCATCTGATAAGGTCAGTCAGATACCCTCAGGATTTACCCTGAAACCCTGTACTGCAGTTTGTAGATCCTTTGTCAGTGTCAGCCATGTGGATGAGTCACTGCCATTGCTTGGCCAAATTGCTCTCCGTGAAAGCCTGACAAAATGTTTTCTCTCCATATGACTTTCCTTAGGCACACTGTACATCATCGATCACTTTCCTCTCTGGCCCTATAATCTCCTTGATCAGAAAATTTGGGATACCATTGAGTTACATGATGTTACAGTATAGGTTCTCCTATGTCCTGAGAATTCACTGACCTTGAAAGGCTAGGACCAAAATGTTGACTGTACCTGCAGCCCTTCTTTTTCTCTCACTTTTGTTCTGCAAACTTAGGTTGTTAACCCTTCAGAAGAGAAGTTTATTATTATTACCCTACAACATAGGCAGTTGAGCTTAACCTTACTATCGGTCTGAATAGCAAACATGTTAGGCATAACATGGAACAGGTATTTCTGATGAAGTTTTGATATGTTAAACTTTAAGTCCCTACAGCATATGAAGAAAAAATTTTTTAAAATTCACAATATTTAAAAAATAGAAATAAACGATTACATATTTTTACACAGAAATTTAGAAATCTAACCATGTATATATATCATTGTAGCAGGACACTCCTGTGACATTTTTTGTCTCTTGTTTTCATTTTTTACCCCTTACTTTTAAACAAACATTTACTTGAGAGATAGTATGGCAGTAATTGGTATCACAGAACAACCAGTACATATTTAGCAGAACAGAATGACAGGCATAGCCCTACCATTACACATTGTTTTCTTCAGTGAAGTTGCTTAGTTCACAGGTATCAACATACATAGAGAATCTTCAGCAGGTTTTTGAAACTAGCAGTGAATCCGTAGGATTCTCACCCTGACTAACTATATGTGCTGAATCCATATTGTGAAAGGGAAAGAAAATGTTTGAAGAGAAGAAACACCTGGGATGAGGGCAAGGAGAAAAAACCAAAAAGCAATGTATATCCATATACATAAGATAACTTGAATAATTACATGCTCATTTCTGCTGGTCTACTGAAAGTAGCAGTTAATGATTAATTTTTTTCTCCCTCTTATTTTTAACTTTTTTAACCAATGTTGCATGCCTACATGTGGTAATCTGAAAAACTAAATTGTGGAAAACAATATGTGATTTAACAAACAGTTGAATTCCTGTCATTTCGTGTAGTGAAATTTGGTATTGTTTATAGTGATTTTTGCTACGTTTATTCTCTTTAAAAAAAAAAAAAACAGGGCTGACCAGATAGCTCAGCAAGTTAAGGTGCCTGCAAGCAGGTACAGGGACCTGGAGTTCAATCCAAGGGCCTGCCATGCCAACCCCACCCCCGGGGCACACTGAGACACCAGTTGAGACTGAGCATGATGGTGTGTGCCTGTAATCCCAGCTCTTGGGAGGTTGTAAACAGGCGGATCACTGTGAGTCTGATCTAGTGGCGAGACGCTAAACACCCTGTAGACCCTTCCCTAGAATACAAAAAACAAAACAAACAAAAATAAAACCACTAAGACAAAGTAACATAGTGCAGGTGAAGTCCTACATTGGGCCAGGAGCAAAGAAAAGTTTAAATGCCAACTTTTCTTGTGTGTGATGCATGTTCTGTGCTTGGATTGAGGTGGTGGTTATACCAGATCTGTGATTTTTGCATGTGAGGTTCTTGGATCAGGAGAATCTGGGTGAATCTTTGAAAGAAAGGTAGCTCTTTTATCAGAGAGAGGGTATTCACATCTGATTACCAGTAATAAACTGGAAAATACTGTATAGTGATATCAATCAGAATAGTACTTTCTAGTGATTTTCTGCAAGGATGGCAAATCCCCAACACAGGCCTAAACATGCTTTCGAACCAGTAAAGCACAGATGTGAAACCGTAAGTCTCTTTCCTCCCTACCATTAACTGCTCCTTTCAGTAGACCAGCAGGAATCAGCAGAACAATTGTGCAAGCTATCTTATGCATATACATATCTATTGCTTTTTCCCTCACTTTGACACAGATAACATTCTCCCCTGTTCCTTTGATAGACTTTTTCGTGTTTCTGTTACATACAAATACCATGACTCTGATATTATCTTCTGAGGAAACACACCATAGTACCCAGTGTTGTAACCTAACATAGATTTCTTTCAGCTGGTGTCAGGTGTTGGGGTGAATATTCTGTCTTAGTACTTGTAGCCAGTCTCTTGAAAGTGAGGCATTCCTGAAATAATACGGTTTTGCACAGAGATTGGAAATGGCAACTGAAGGACATTACTGGATCCTTCCATGTACTGTGTCCAGGGTCTGCTGATTTTATTTTTGCTCCCTTAATCTGTATGTCACACTTTTCCAGTGGGGCTGCCGTGTTTGCTGCTGCTATTTTGTACAATACATTAACAGTTGGTATGGTGGCCTGGTGCTATTTACCCAATCTGTTTTCATTCTCACTTCTAGGAGGACTAGATAGCAAGGGCTGCAGGTAATACATGTTCACCTCTTACTAAGTGTCAGAAGTTGTGCCACGTACTTGATCCCGTCCTAGCCAACATGATTATAGTATAGAGGCATTTCTCCAGACTCTTTCCATGTATTTTCACATAGTAACCCATTTCTCTTCTCCCAATAATCCCATGAGAATGAGGACAACAGCAGCAAACTGCCCCCTGTCCACGAAAACCAACACTCAAAAAATAAACACAGCAAGAACTTTCAGGACAGGAAGGTCATTTCCTTGGACTGTAGAATTCACATCAGGCTTCAAATCCTGACTTCATCTGACCTCAAACGTTATGCTCAAAATCAATCCCACGAAACTCTTTGTGGGGATTGAAGTGTAGTCTGGGCAGGACTCTGAATCTAGACAGCAGCAATGGATGGGACGCCAGAAAACCAAGCCCTGTGGCTCCCAGTTTTCTTCCCAAGAGACCCATAGGTGATTGCTGTTTCCCTGCACTGTGTCTCCATTTCTCTGACTGTGCTCGAACTGTTGTTCTGGGGTTCCACTTAAGGGTGGAATAGAGAGATGTGTATCTGCAGGATGAATTCACTTCCTCACAAGCATTTTCAGTGCCTGTTCTGTGGTCTTCTGAGCTCTTGCGCTGATGTTCCCAACCTGCAGATCTACCCTTTTCACTGTGTATGTCGAGAACTTGTGACATACCCTTCTTTTCCATCTATAGTTCATTCCAAGTTCAACCATTTCTACATTTGTCCTGAAAACTATCCACGTTGCTCTGACCCCATCATACTTGTGTCCCGAAGAGCTTGCCCAGCACAGCCATATGGGTATGTGTGCTTGTTTAAACAGAGAACATTCTGTATGACAAATGCAAAAAGTGACATGTGTGCATCGCAGAATTTCTTCTGCATCGTAGTATACATTCTAGGAAGGTAGGCTCCCAGTTAGGTGAAAAGTACTTGATGTCACTTTGTATCTTCAGGAAAACATCTCTCATATTTAGTTTTCTAAGATTGATTTTTAAAAGAACAGAAAAATAATAGATAAGACTTTATTTGCAATGATTTTTTTCAGCATTTTAGAGAAGGAGCTCACTACTAGATCAGACTCGTAGTAATTCTTTTTACTGTTTCCCAAGTGCTGGGAGTACAGAGGCATGCCACCATACCCAGCCTCAATTGTTGTCTCAGCATGCCCTGGGGGCAGTGCCGGCAAGGTAGGCCCAGGGATGGAACCCCTGGCCTCTGCATCAGCCTGCAGGTGCATTAATACGCTGATCTGTTTGGCCTGCCCTTAGATCAGAATTTAGAAACAAAACAATTAAAAACCAAAATGATATGTCTTCAAGGGTAGTTGTTAGAGTCCACATACCATCGAAAGTAATTAGAGTAAAAATATTACGCATTAACTGCTATATTAAAAATTATGTAAATTAGTAGTACAATCATCTTAGCTATACTGTGTATGTATACACGTTTCCACCTCCTATTTTCTCTTTTCCTCATCTTACTTTTCACTCTTTATATTTATTTTCAATCCCTTTTAGTATGCCAACTGTGCATTTCAGATTCAATTTAGTCTTTAAGGTTCTTTCAGGTCACACCAGTGAGACCATAGTATGTTTACACATGTGGGTCTGATTTATTTCACACACAAGTATATCCTGTAATTGTATCATTTAACGATAAAAGCCTCAAAGTTTATCTTGATTTATAGTTGAGTAATACTCACTTACATAAAAATACATCATTTCGTTATCTGTTATTCAACTTATGGGAATTTGTGTCGCTTCCAATATTTGTCTGTGACAAATTGTGGTGCTATAAACATGAGTGCAAATATATCACTGAAGTATAACATTTTCAGTTCTTCTAGAAAAATATACCGAAGGGTAATAGTTGGGTTGAATTGGACTTCTAAACTTAGCTTTTGAGGAGTTTCCACACTGAGGCAATGTTCACTCTCAATGATTCTGACTCTTTTCTGTACTCCATACATGGTGCATATGTCTTAACCTTCATTTCAATATATGACCCTCGGCTTTTGCTTAAGAGTTTTAATGGAACAAGTTGATTTCTTGGAATTCTCTAAATATACACAACATATTTTTCGTTATTATTTTAGAGAATCACTACAAACTCATTGTTTTTAAAGACATGGATGGATTGCAGTCCTGTGTTGTAAGACATTGGGCAGAGGACTATCAAGATTTCACATGAGCTTTCTTTTTTCCAATCACTCTTCCCTCTGTGTTGAAAATACATGGTAATGGAGGAGGTATAGAGAGATGATGATGACCAGGCTAGGGTGGAGGCCCTGAGGAGCTGAGGAACTGATGGACTCTGTGTGTATTTTCAAGGAGAGATCAGAGAATAACTGCACTGGTTGGAGGTGGACTGAGATTAAGAGAGAGCACTGAAGGCACACCCATGCCTTTGAGGCCCAGCAGGAAGAATGTGTTAGTCAGAAGGTCTACTTACTATACTCTCATTTCCAGCCCCTTTTTCCAATTGAGAGAAGTGCTGATGTTCACAGCAGGACTAACCAGACAGTGAGTCACACAGGGAAAGGGATGACCCACCTAGAGATCATCCCTAGTGCACTGCACAGTGATTGGGAGTGAGGCACATTCTGCTCCTCAGTGTGTCCAGAGGCATGGTGGAGTAATTAATGCATAAATTCTGCAGCTTACACAAACAGGGAAGCTTAAATGCTAGAGTCTCCAAGGAAGCTGGTTTGTGATGGTCTAGTTCACCTTAGTGCCCCTGCTTCTGAGAACACTAATATTGCTTTCTGCTAGTACATGGGTTTAGTCAGCTGTGCTCCAAATAAAATACCCATAGTGAGTTGGACTGTGGGAGAAAGACTCACTACTTCTGAGGAGTCAGAAGACTTCCAACAGCAGCAGACTTCCAACTCTTGGCACTAGGTGCATTAGATAGCTTGGTGGGCACGGTATGTGGGAGGGGATGGGAAATCCGAAACTTCATCTAAGAGGGATACAGGGTGAGCAATAACCAAAACGCTTTATAAATGTACTCAAGGCCAGGTGTCTGCATGGAAATGAGTGAGAAAGGGAGCACTACAGAGTGATAAGAGGATCAGAGGATCTGTCCTGCAGGAGGCCATAAGGGTCCCAAGTGTGTAACACCAAGCCAGAGTGTCAAAGTACATGAAGCAAACCCCAGTGGAGTTCAGGGGAGGAGAGCTGAATCCTCAGGGAGTGTAGGGGACTTGACCACCCTGTGCTCTAGAACTGTGGGACAGAACAACAACCAGGATATAGAAGATCTGAATAAGATGATACAATAATGGGATCTGAGCGACCTTATTAGCTGCTCCAACCAACAACAGCCGAATCCACTATTTCCTAAAGTATCGTGTAGCAATCAGAAAGATAGAGCTTGTTCTAGGCCCTGGAAACTACCCGCACAAATTTGAAAGGACTAAAGTTCTACAGAGTAGATTTCATGACCGTGTTGGTATCAGACGTGAAGAAGAATTAAGAGGAGACTTTCTAAACGTTTGGAAGCACACAGTACTTAATAGTCACTGTAGTGCATCACATCGCTCTGACCCATTTCATGGTGAAGCCAAGTTTAGGAAGAGTCCTCTCAGTTGAAAGCATTGCAAGTTGGGAAAAAAGGAAAGCTTGCTCTGGATAGCTCAAGCCCAGTATTCTTAAGGGTAAGGCTGGAAGCCGGGCATGGGGAATAGGGGTTGTGGGGGAAGGCAGAGACTGCGATGCTGCTGCTTCTGTTTCACCTGTCAATAATTATAGTACTGTAGGCACTGAAAGTACACGTTGGGCTGCGGAGATAGCTCTGTCGTCTACACGCTTACCTGGCAAGTGAAAGGACCTGGGTTCACTCCACAGTTCTTCAACCTGTATGCACCATGCTGACCACTGAAACTGGTCATCGTGGTTCCCATGTGTAATCCCAGTGCTTGGAAGGCTGAAACAGGAAGATCTCTACAAGTCCAAGCTGCATAGTGAGACCCATACCAAATAAATAAATAAATAAATAAATAAATAAATAAATAAATAAAAGTGCATTTTGCTAAATCTTCACTGAATCAGTTCGGAGGCTGAAATGATTGAGGAAGTGAGAGAGAGTTCAAGCTATTGGTGTTTGTGAGTTGTTAAGAGCGGAGAGACCTGCAAGAAGGCAGGAGTTGGGGTGCTGGCTATGTGTCGACAAGCCAATGACACACACACCCAGGTTCTTTGTCAGTCTTGTTCCACTTTTTAGGAGGTGCACCACGCTTGCTTCCTGCTCCAGAAACCTCTCTCCTGATTCTTCAGCAAGTGGGATAAGCTTCTCAAGTGTGGACAGGCAGAGCAGTTTGCTCTCTGGGGCTGGTGCAAGGGGTCCAGTGGGCAGCTTGGACATTTGCTTACCATGCCACATCGTTAGCTCACAATGTGATGTATGATATGTGGATCATGGTAATGTCTTTGAGTGTACATCTTATTTCACGTTTCAGAATATAGCAATGAAATCAGCGTCCTCCAAGGAAGGAAGAGATATAGTAGATTTTCCTGCAGTAATTTTGATGGGAGAATTACTCATTCTGAACATGGAGGACAGGGGCTTCTGCCTCCACCCTTCTACAACAATGAAGGGGACACCATGATGGATGGCCATGACAATCACCCACTACGATAGTAAGTGTTCAAGCACCCTAGTTTGCTGGTAGCAGGCCAACAGCGACACAACTCCTTCATTCCATGTAGTCTGCTCTTTCATCTCTCACTGGATAACTGAAGAATGATGGATGAGCACAATACCGTTTGAGCAGTTCTAGTCACACTCGTGCTATCAGTGATGGGAGGCTGTATAGAAGACATTGCATTTATGAACACTTTTCCTCTCACTCTTCACCAGCACACCTTATGAGAAAGGACACATCAGGAGGAGAAGGAGGGCATATGATACGAACAACATCCATATTAAACTGGAAAAAGATCTACAGGCTGAAAGAAGAGAGATAGAGGAGTACATGCAAAGTGGAATCATGGAGAACTGGTTCAAGGTCACAGTGAGTGTCTTGGCGAGGTCCACATTAGCTAGAGTGTGTGGAAACAAATACAATGAAGATTATGTTAACCATGATATGTTGGCTCCTGGGAGAAGAACCAGTAGATGGAGAGAAGGGGAGGTTAGTGTATCCATGTTGAAAACAGAAATAAGAATCATCTACTGTTCCTGTTAAGTCTTTTAAAGTGAGGTAGAGTGTTGGAAAAGAACACTGAGTTGGATCTGTTCTTTATCCTGATTCACTGTGGTTTCTCTTTTCCCTATTCCTTGATTTTACTGCTAGATTCCATTTGGCAGAAAATATGACAAAGCCTGGCTAATCAATTCAATCAAGACCCACTGCAGTGTCCCCTTCAGCCCAGTTGATGTAAGAGAGGATGGTGACAACAACCAAGGGACCCATGGGAGGGGGAGAGGTGTGGCACCTCAGGGTCATTTGTCCCTGACTCCACTGCTTCTTCCCTCTCTGCTTGTAGTTCCACTGCATCGGAACACGGGCCCTGTTCTTCGTCCAGCATGAGATCACTGCCTCTGCAATAAAGGAAGTCAGCAAGAAGATAAGTGATGAGGACAGCCTCAGGGTATGTGCTGGGGGGCATTCCTTGTGCTTGGTCTTGGAGCTGGTGAGTGGGCCAGGGGCTGATTGCTGGGTATTGTCTTTGAGATCGGGGGTCCTCTCCTTCCACAGATACCTATCTTTGTGAGTCGTTCTACTGCCCCTTACTCTGTGCAGAATAAGTTAACGAGCGGGCAAATGGAGCAACTCCAGGTAAGGTGGAGTCAAGCACTCAAAGCTGTGTACCCACTTCAAACACACTTCTTACTCCAGCTGGTAGCGTTCTTCTCACTGTGAGGAACATAGCCGCACAACCACTCTCTCTGTCTTTGCAGTTGGCCTTGCGGAAACGATATGATGTGTCTCAGCAGGCTCTCAACCTTGAGAGGCTCCGTTTTGACCCAGGTATGAATGACCCACAGTACCTCTAGGCCAGCAGAGTGCAAAATGATCTGCCTGGGAAGCAGGAAGGGCAACTTGCAGAACGTCTGTACTGATGCTGGTCCAGCCA